TTGATTTGACCAAATTATTTACCTAAAGAAAAACATTAAAAGCAAACTGGTTAATGACCTAATTTGCTACTTGGATGGATGGTTTGCTCCAGAAGAGTTTACAATCTCTCACCACAATGCCCACAAATCATAAAGCTAGATGTATAATTTTGCTGCCCTTCCTCTCTCCTGCTTCTGAGGCAACGTACTCAATAGATCATTAGCAAAGAACCTCCTTCACAGGCTCTGTTTTTCCTGAACCTCATCTGAGGCAGGTAACATAAGAAAACCTGAAGCACAGTCAAGTTTAGGAACCACTGCCATAGATTAAAAATGAATAAATGACATGGACATAGTTGCAGTACCTCCTCTTCCTTACGGATGTTGCATTTTATGGGGGTAACTTGAGACTGGTGGGTGAGAGGGAGGGGGGTCTTCAGTTCGTCTGCAGCAGATTTTAATACATCAAACTTACGAGACGAAATGACCACATTACAACCTGAGGAAAAAACAACCAAAGGACAAGTAAATATGCTTTCACTGCTTGGCAAAATCCCAAAAATACTAATGTTTACCAAATATTTCATGTGTTCCTGTAAAAACGATGAATTGGGGCTTCTGCTTCTGGTCAAGATGGAGTAACAGGAGCTGGATTACTATCAAATCAATGAACATTAAGTAAGCAACTTTCGCAATAGATCATTAGCAAAGAACCTCCTTCATAGGCTCTGTTTTTCCTGAACCTCATCTGAGGCAGGTAACATAAGAAAACCTGAAGAACAGTCAAGTTTAGGAACCACTGCCATAGATTAAAAATGAATAAATGACATGGACATAGTTGCAGTACCTCCTCTTCCTTACGGATGTTGCATTTTATGGGGGTGACTTGAGACTGGTGGGTGAGAGGCAGGGTGGTCTTCAGTTCGTCTGCAGTAGATTTTAATACATCAAACTTACGGGACGAAATGACCACATTACAACCTGAGGAAAAAACAACCAAAGGACAAGTAAATATGCTTTCATTGGTTGGCAAAATTCCACAAATAATAATGTTTACCAAATATTTCATGTGTTTCTGTAAAAACGATAAATTGGGACTTCTGCTTCTGGTCAAGATGGAGTAACAAGAACTGGATTACTACCAAATTAATGAACATATCCTTAAGTGAGGATGAAAAAACAAACACTCACATCTGTAATTCTTCCATACTAAGAAACTGAGCATCTTTAAAACAAACAAACAAACACAAAAGAACACAGCAACAACAAAACAACAATAACTCAGGA